CAACGGACATTTATAAGACACCAACAGCGAATATAACTAATGTCTCATATTAGGTACAAATTTCAATATAATACAGGCCTGTTGGAGTTTCCAAAATTGTAAGGAACCACACACATTATAAGCAGCAAAGAGCGCTAATTGCGAGCTCTGTTCCTGTGACCGAGATATGGCTATGTCATTTTAGCAGATAAACTAAAATTCACCCATTGAACAATCAAGCTCAGGATTGTTAATGTCCTTGAATGAGCACATTGTTACTAATGCTGCAGAATATTTTGAATGATTTTGTTACTTTGGTAGTTATTTTAGCATACGCTGTTATTAAAATTTAAAATATTTTAATTACTACACCATTCTCATCCAAATATTCATTAAATGGTAGTGCTCTTAGGGGGCTTAAAAATTCATGAAGACCAATTACTTTGAAGTGGAAATTAGATGTTATAATATACTACACAGACACTTTAAACAAACACCAAATGCCCTGTGCAGTTAATTCAGCCGAGAACGCTCAATACAACATCAGAGTTAAGGCCAAGGAAATAAAACAGGAAGCATTAAAGCAGATACATTCCACAGTGGGAGTGGATTTATGTTCCCTGGGAATGCATTCTTCCTCTCTGCATCTCCTCCTGTGGGGATACGAGTTCTGAATAATGCAGGTTTTGAATTTTTCCAGGTCTTACAAGCAAAATCCTTGCATAGACCGCTCCACTATGTTACATATGAAAGTAAAGTAATTTTTAATTTTTAAGTTCAGTTTTATCCCTGGATTTGGTTTTTACATTTGTTTTTATACCCTTAGAAGACATTTGTGATTTTTAGTAAAAAAAAAAAAAAAAAAAAAATCAATACCTTATCTTTTTGTGTAAAAAGTATTTTATTTTTAAAAATATTGTAATAAATAAAATAGGGGCACTTGGGTGGCTCAGTGGGTTAAAGCCTCTGCCTTCAGCTTGGGTCATGATCCCAGGGTCCTGGGATAGAGCCCCTCATCACATAGGGCTGTATGCTCAGCGGGGAGCCTGCTTCCTCCTCTCTCTCTGCCTGCCTCTCTGCCTACTTGTGATCTGTCTGTCAAATACATAAATAAACAAAATCTTTACTAAATAAATAAATAAATAAAATATTGTAAACTCTCCCCATGTCAGTCAATATATCTCTGCATTATAATCTTCTGTGGTTACTGATATATTCCCCACCTTATGGATGCCTACAAGCTCTTTTTTTTTTTTTTCTGGTTTTCTAAGATTTAGATTTTTGACAATGTGGTGCCCTTAACATAAATTGTAAGAAATGTACTTCTACATGTATCTTCAGACAATTATTTCATTAGGTTGTTTTCTAACAATAGAATTGCTACATTAAAAAAAAAAAAGAATTGCTATCTTTAAGTAAGTACATGCTCCTTTAAATCTTGGTGCGGAGTGGCCTCCAAATGGTTTTATAAATTACATTCCAAATAGAAATTTATGAGAATGAACATTTTCTCAAACTTATGCCCATGCTGGTTATCATTTTTGTTTATAATCTTTGCCAGTTGTAAAGGCCAAAAAATGTATTTAAACATTTGCATTTTTTATTTGTAGTTTAATAGCTGTTTCCACATATTTATTCCCCATTTGCATTTTCCCTTTTATTACTTTCCCCCTCCTATCCATCGATCATTTTTATGGTAGTGTGATCTTCTTATAAATGTGTAAGAGATAAGTAAATGAAGTCAATAAACCATTTGTTTCATATAGTTAACAAATATATTGTCCAAGTATGTGTTTACTTGATTTTTTTTTTCTGAAAGTAAGGTTTTAAATTTTTCTAGAGCAAAATTCAGCAGTCATTTCTTTTATGGTTTGACAGCTTGCCATCCCTGCCCAGAGTTTAAATGAGAAAATTCTCTTATATTTTCTCTAGGTACTTGGTGGCTTACTGTTCAAATGTTAAATCAAGAGTCAGTATGAAATTTATGCGTTATAATATGTCTGTGCTGGAGACATAAGCTTGCCCTCTCTTCCCACAGCCCCTAGATTCTGAACATGATTTCTTGACTGCCTCATTTCTCTCCTCCCACAGTGCCCTACTTGGAAATCCCACCTTTATCGTGCTCTAAATTTTTATGAGCTCTTGGGTACCTGTTCTTTGAAGGAGCAGACAACGTTTTGAATACTCCAGTTTTTTTAAGTACTGGCTTTTTTGCTAGGGTTTGTTTGTCTTTTCCAGATGAAATTTAGATGTGTTCTGTTAAGTAAAATAAAGCAAAAGGAAGGAAGGAAGGAGGGAGGGAGGGAAGAAAGAAATCACGTCACTCAAGTTATTGAGATTTTAATTGGATTTTTTTTTTAAATGTTGAGTTTTCCCATCTAGGACAACAATATGTCTTTAAAATGCAGCGTGTGGGGGCGCCTGGGTGGCTCAGTGGGTTAAAGCCTCTGCCTTCGGCTCAGGTCATGATCCCAGGGTCCTGGGATCGAGCCCCACATCAGACTCTCTGCTCAGCGGGGAGACTGCTTCCTCCTCTCTCTACCTGCCTCTCTGCCTACTTGTCATCTCTGTCTGTCAAATAAATAAATAAAATCTTTAAAAAAAAATGCAGCATGTGTGGGGTGCCTGGGTGGCTCAGTGGGTTAAGCCTCTGCCTTCAGCTCGGGTCATGATCTCAGAGTCCTGGGGTCGAGCCCCGCTTCAAGCCCTGCATCAAACCCAGCATCAGGCTCTCTGATCAGCAGGGAGCCTGCTTCCCCTTCTCTCTCTCTGACTGTCTCTCTGCCTACTTGTATAATTAAGTAATTAATTAATTAATTAAAAAATAAATAAATAAATAAAATGCAGTGTGTGTCACGTCTTTTTTTTTTTTTTAAGATTTTGTTTATTTATTTGACAGAGATCACAAGTAGGCAGAGAGACAGGCAGAGAGAGAGAGGAGGAAACAGGCTCCCTACTAAGCAGAGAGCCCGATGGGGGCTTGATCCCAGGACCCTGGGATCATGACCTGAACCGAAGGCAGAGGCTTTAACCCGCTGAGCCACCCAGGCACCCCTGTGTCACGTCTTTAATGTCACACAGTAGAGTGTAATAGTTTCTTTTGTGTAATTCTGCCAGATTCTTGTGTTTTTATTTTTTTATTTGAGTACAGTTGACACACAGTGTTGTATTGGTTTCAGGTGTACAGCATAGTGATTCCACAGGTTGGTACATTATGCTGTGCTTACCACAGTGTAGCTAAATTCTTGTTAACCTAGTCCTAGACACTCAATGATACTGTCAATGGAACTCACTTTCTGTTACTCTCATTCTTATGTGGCACAAGAGAAACAATTGATATAAGAGTATATTGAGGGGCGCCTGGGTGGCCCAGTGGGTTAAGCTACTCCCTTTGGCTCGGGTTATGATCTCGGGGTCCTGGGATCGAGCCACGTGTTGGGCTCTCTGCTCAGCGGGGAGCCTGCTTCCCCCCCCACCCCCCACTGCCTGTCTCTCTGTCTATTTGTGATCTTTGTCAAATAAATAAAATCTTTAAAAAAAATTTTATCCATCTGCACATCAATCTTAATCATGGGATCAAAGGTAATAGTACCAAAAATGGGACAAACTAACATCACACATATGAAACTGATCTGATGTGACTGACTGAGAAGAATATAACATTCCTTATGTAGAATTTCTGCCAAGAAATATGATAGCCTGAATCTGTGAGGAAACAAACAAACCCAAATGAAGGAACATTCTTCAGAAGAATTGCTCTGTCCTCTTCAGAACAGCCACTGCCGTGAAAGTCAGACATAAAGGCTAAGGAGTGAGGTTAAAGGACTCTAAATGGTGTGACAGCTGGGTCTAATGAATGATTCTGAATCGGATCCTGGATCAGGAGGGGGGAAAAAATGTTATAGAGGCTACTATTGAGACAATGGGTGAAATTTGAATATATGGTTTACATATTAGATAATATTTCAGTGTTGGATTTCTTGGATTTGATCATTGTGTAGTAGTTACATAAAAGAATGCCCTTGTTCTTGGGAGATGCACACTGAACTTCTAGGGATGACCGCTCATGTCTGCAGCTTACTCTCAAATGGTGAGGAAGATGAGAAGACGGGGAGAGAGAAATGGAGAATTGCATCTATGGCAAAATATTAACAAATGGTAAATCTACATTAATTGTTTCCAGGTGTTCATGCAGAATGAGCCATGCCAGCAGCCTTTCTGTAAGCTTGAAGTTTTTAAAAATAAAAAAGGTGGGAGGGATTAGAAAATGATTAACCATATGTTTTTTTTTTAAGATTTTATTTATTTATGAGAGAGAGAGAGAGCGAGCACAGGCAGACAGAATGGCAGGCAGAGGCAGAGGGAGAAGCAGGCTCCCTGCAGAGCAAGGAGCCCGATGTGGGACTCGATCCCAGGACACTGGGATCATGACCTGAGCCGAAGGCAGCTGCTTAACCAACTGAGCCACCCAGGCGTCCCGATGAACCATATGTTTAATGAAAATATCAAAATAAAATAATAAACCTTTAGGTTCCTGTTTTAACAAAAAGTATCACTTAACAGGGTCATATCAGGGAGAGGGTATTATAAGGACTGTCCTTGGTCTGATCTTCCTTTGATTTTTGTGTATCTGCTGTTTTATCTACAATTTTAGTGGTACTTTTGAAATCCAGTGTTTGAGTGGAGGTGATGTTTGCATTCCTGGGAGAAAACTGGCTGGTGATGGGCATCAATCTTTTACTATATCGCTGGGCTTTATTAAAAGTATGTTTTCATGTGTGTGATTGACATCTACCTTTCCTTCTCAAGGTAGCTTTGAGTCTGAAGGGACCTTGGTCTTAGGAACCCGTGGAACCGGGTTCAGATTCCTAATCTAGGGGTCATGGAGGAAATAGGGCTCCAAACAGAAGTAAAGATGATTTTGGACAAATAACACGATTCACCAGATAAGGCAGGGACTCTTCCGACGTTCCCTAAGAAAGGGGGCGCGGAGACTTATGGGAAACGGAGTCCCGAATTTGATGGATTACCGGGAGGAGAGCCGAGGGAACCTGTCCTTCGCAGCTCCTTCTGCGCATGTGCAGTTCCTCTTCATTGTTCGCCCGCTCCCTTGTCTCCGGCTTCGCACCGCAGGTAATCGCCGAGCCTCGGGGTCGCCGCGCCGCTCGCTGATCGAGTCCTGCGGGAAGGATGTGCACTACAGGTAGGGACCTCGGAGGGTTGCTTTGCACGGCGCGGGATAGGTTTGTGCCCACACATGGTGGAAGCAAAAACTTGAGCGAACCCCTGGGGGGCGGAGGACCCTAAAGAAAGCCGGAGACTGAGCAGCCTGGCTGCAGACCCACAGGTTCCACGAAAAGATTAAGGGCACGGGTTTCTCGGTCCGAATAAAGTGCGCTGAGAAAAGGCATCTGAATGTCAAAGAACTGTTTCCAGGAGCTCCTCGAATTTGCAGGTGCCCCGTCGACCATTCGTTAGCGAGTCAAACCCACGGCGGCGGGGATGAGAGTGAAGGCTTGTCATGCTCATTCTATGCCTGCAAGCTGCGGGCAGGTGGGGGGTCTGCATTGTAGCAGGCTGGTATAAGAGCCTGAGTTTGAACTCCGACGAGGTTAAATTCCAGCTCCGCCACTGAGTCTCCGTGGGCAAAATGATGAGCCTCTAAGACTCAGCTTCCCCATCTGTAAAATGAACTTATTCCTCAAACCCGTCTCTAGGTGGTTCTGAGGATTGACTAAGGTAACACCTGTAAAACACTCAGCACAGGTCCTGGCATTCACTAAGGACCTGGGAAATGTTCATTGTTCTTTTCGTTGAGAATATTGTTTATTTCCAAAGACACCCCCCACACACACCCAGGAAAATGGGTATTAATCCCATTTTAACCAAGAAGAAAACCGGGACTCTGGAGGTGAAGGGTCATGGTCAGTAATTGAAGGGGCATACACACCTCAAGCAGTTTTTGTTTGTTTGTTTGTTTGTGTTTTGAAAGATTTTTATTCATTTGACAGAGAGACAGTGAGAGAGAGCATGAGAGAGGAGAAGGTCAGAGGGAGAAGCGGACTCCTCATGGAGCAGGGAGCCCGATGTGGGACTCGATCCCAGGACTCTGGGATCATGACCTGAGCTAAAGGCAGTTGCCTAACCAACTGAGCCTCCCAGGTGCCACTCAAGCAGTTTTTTATCCCAGTCCGGTGTTGGGTTTTGTCCCACAGCACACCCTTCCCAGCGCTTAGCAGAGGGGCCCATCCCAGAGGCACGAGCAAAAACCTGGAGTGTACCAAGCTGAGTCTTCTCTAGAGTTCATGGAGATTTCTTGACATCGGTTCAGAGCCCTCGGGTTACTCCACAATGAAGGCTTCTCTAGGCTTTCCTTGCTGTGCATCTGCCCGGTGGCCTCCCCAGTTTATAGACTCCTAAACCAGATTTTTCTGACAGTTGTTCTCAAATAAGCTTGTTAAAACCCCAGAGCCGGCTAGGCCCCACCCGCCAGGGTTTGATAGGTTTGGGAGGGGGCGCCACATTTGCATCTCTATCAAGCTCCTGACTGATGCAGATACTGCTGGGAACTGCTCTGCAAACTCCAGTGGTCTGTGGTCTGTTGGGTTGGTCGCGATTGCAGGTGGTGAAGTCCCAGGGCGGCTGGGACCTGGGGTGCAGATTCCAGTGATTTGAATTCACCCTTTCAGCCAGGTTCACATTTCCTTGGACCCCACGGCTCTTGTTAGGAAAGAAGGCAGGGCCGCAGTGAGCGAGACACCCAGCTGGGAGATCCCCACCTGATCAGACACAGCCCACCACCGTTAGGGGCAGAGACCCCAGAAACAAGCGGCTTCGACCTTTGCTTGCTCAGAAGCGATTTCTGATCACATCACCACACCAGAGGTTGCCAGAAGTGCCTGTCAGTGAAAGTGGGAGCCAACTTTCAAAAGAGAGAGGGGAGCCGAGCTGAGTGAGGCTGGTAGGCAAGAAGCAGGCTTCCTGGGACGAGGAAATCCTGTGGACAGTGGATGAGGCTGTGGTCTGGGAGGATGGCCCGGGAGACACGAACACCACTCCTCCCCAAACTCCTCCCACGCATTTTATTCTCCCTGAAACCCCTGTTCCGGGATTCCGCACAGCCATCTCCTCGTGGGGAATTTAGGGCTATGCTACCCACCCCCGCCTCATTCCTGTCTTTGTAGGCATATGCCAAGGGTCTTCAGGGGTTATGTAACCCTGTCTCATTTTAAAAGTGAACAGTATTGGGTCTGAAGGAGTCATTAGCATACAGTTAAATACAAGGTTTCTGGAGCCAGACTGCCAGGGTTCAAAGCCCGGCTCTGCTATATTATTTTCACTTCTTTCTTTCCTCATCTATAACCTGGGAGTAGTACTACCTACACTTTTGCTTTATTTTAAGGAATAAAGAGGTAACATATGTAAAGCATTTACAACAGTGCCCATTACATAGTAAGTACCATCCAAGTATTATCAGTGTCCTTAATATCAGCATAATCTCGGTTCGCATTATTTGTTAGTCCCAGAACCTAAGGAACCACTGGGACCCCCCTGACTCCCAAGCCCCTGTTCTGTTCACTGTGGCTCAATTAAGTCAAAACAAGTTTCTTTCTTTCTTCTTCTTCTTCTTTTTTTTTCTTTTAATTTCATCCATTTACTTGACAGAGAGAGACTGTGAGAAAGGGAACACAAGCAAGGGGAGTGGAAGAGGGAGAAGCAGGCTTCCCACTGAGCAGGGAGCCCCGTGCGCAGGGCTCAATCCCAGGACCCTAGGATCATGACCTGAGCGGAGGGCAGACACTGAAGGACTGAGCCACCCAGGCGCCCCTCGAAACAAGTTTCTTAATTTAAAAAATCCCTTAGAGACACTGAAACCAAAGGAGAATAAATCCCTTTAAATAAAATAGACTTCCCTGAAGCACACCTATCCTGTTAGAGGTTCCTACTGATCTTTTAACTTGACGGAGTCAAAAATCTAAGGAGGGGCACCTGGCTGGCACCAGCACTTTATCTCAGAGTTGTAGGTTCCAGCCCCATGGTGGAGGTGCAGATAAATTTTAAAAATTTGAATGTGTGTGTGTGTGTGTTGGAAAGTAAGTGAGCAGATCTCCATGAGGTTTTTGTTTGTCAGGTCATTTTTTTTACACTTTTTTTCTGATGAAAATATTCAAAACATAGAAAAGTAAAGAAAATAACATAATGACTCCCATAATACTTGTCACAGCTTCAGCCATTATCAAGCTATGCCCTTCTTGTTTCATCTGTACCCACCCCTAACCCACACATAATCACATTTTACCTTCCACCTTTCATGACTAAATCATTTTAAAGGAAATCCTGGGAATGCCCAGCTGGCTCAGTCAGAAGAGCATGGGACTCTTGATCTCAGGGTCATGAGTTCGAGCCCCACATTGCATGTAGAGAGTACTTAAATAAATAAGCAAACAAACTTAAACAAATAATAAATCCCAGACCACAAAAACTTAAAATGTAACCTGTTTAATAATGGCCAAAGCCATGGCATGCCATCTTTGCTATGCTAAGATTTGTTTAACCGACTCCTTCTTAGTTGGACTTTGGCTTATTTTATATGTCTGCTATTAAACCAAAGAAAGCTGTTAATTGTAAGAAACCAGTAAGATAAGAATATTTAGGGGCACCTGGGTGGCTCAGTTGGTTAAGCAACTGCCTTCAGGATCGCAGTCCTGGGATCGAGCCCCACATCTTGCTCCCTGCTCAGCAGGGAGCCTGCTTCTCCCTCTCCCTCTGCCACTCCCCCTGCTTGTTCTCTCCTGCTCTTTTTCTGTCAAATAAATAAATAAAATCTTTATTTAAAAAAAAAAAAGAATATATACTTTCCCCAATGAAAAGCATGCTTCTCTTAAATACCCACAGTTACACCTGCCCCATTGAAGGGTCAGACACATCCTCCCACTGTGTGGCTGGCCATCAGCTATCATGTGTGGATTTCTAGGCAAGGGCTCTGAAGACCTTCAAGACAGACCCTTTTTCTCATGGTTGCTCTGCTCCTTTCCCTTCCTCCAGCTCTGGCCTCACAGTTCTGGAAACTTTCCCCAGAGCGGGAGATGAACACATCCCAGGTGAGTCATTTACTTCTTACTCAACTTTTTCAATGGAATCTAAGAGTGACTTCACATTTTTTAGTGACCCTGCTTTCTCATCAATTGTTCTTTTTTTTTTTTTCTTTCACTTTTTGACTTTTTTCCTGGGATATCGTCTGACTTTCCTTTTTTCTTCTTCTGGTGGTTTTGAAGGTCTACATGTGATTTGTATTGTATTATTGATTACCTTTGATGTGTGGGACACATATGTGAACGTATTTTTCTTTCGACATCAGGGATTGTTTTCACCCATGGTACCATCTAAATAAGATACACTCCTTTATCTCAAGTTCCATGGAAACATTTTAAGTGCTTCTTTTCCTACTTTGTCTTTACATAATAAATTTTATTTTTTTAATTTTTAAAAAAGATAAAAAGATTCTATTTATTTATTTGACAGAGATCACAAGTAGGCAGAGAGGTGGGGGGTGGGGGGTGGGGTGGGGAAGCAGGCTCCCTGCTGAGCAGAAAGCCCAATGCAGGGCTCCATCCCAGGACCCTGGGATCATGACCTGAGCGGAAGGCAGAGGCTTAACCCACTGAGCCACCCGGGCATCCCTATTTTTTGAATTCTTTATTAACAATTGCATCACACCTTCTAGCTACTTGAACAAAAATTATTTCAATTCTAATATACATTTTCTGTTTTTTTTGTCTGTTTGTTTTTTTTGCTGTCCCAAGTCTGAAGATAAAGCATCATAATGTTATCTACAACTTAGGGTTGCTTGTCACGTTCCAGTCACTGTTAAATTCCTTGCCTGGCTTAATTACAACAGCATTATGAGGTAGGGACTTTTATTACACCCTTTTTACTGAAAGTATAATTAACAAATTTAGGTGCTTGTAGTTGGAGTGATTCTATGGCTACATCATTAGAAATTCGGCCAGGCAGGGGGTGACTGGCTGACTCAGTCAGTAGAGCATGTGACTTTGATATTGGGGTCATAAGTTCGAGTCCTACATTGGGTGTAGAGGGTACTAAAACATAAATAAATAAGTAAAAGAAATTTGACCAGATAGCTCTAATTTGTCTTTGAGTCCTTGAGTCCAAGTCCACTACAAGCTTTCTATCCATTTTTGGGAGTAATATACCATCTGCTTCTGTTCCAGCCTGTCCAAGAACTTGGGATGGGACATCTCTTAGGCATGGCATTGCAGGATAAGACACAGGGCACAGAAAGTATAGCTGGCATGGGACATACTTATACTAAAAACCTATTTGTGTTTCCCTGGGTGCCCTGTGTTTTTATTTCCTAGCTGGGACTGTACTTCGGTAGAAAGAGGGTTTCAGGTGTCCTCTGCTCCCATGAGCATTCCTCATGATCCAGATTCCTGATCCAGATTCCTGATCCAGAGGATCAGTCATTCTCTGTCTTTTCAGGGGCTGATTTTACTAGGTCGTTCAAAATGGCCTGTTGCTGGACCGGCACAACCTGCCTCAGTTTCCCCATCAATCACAGTAACAGTTCCTCTTCCCAAGTTTCAAGAATTCTCAGGTTTCATGCCCACAATATGTCTCTTTGTCCAAAAATGTTAAAAATGTTGCCTACATACAGTTTGTAATTATTTTTTGAAGTTTCCTGTTGAGTTACCCTCTGCCTCTTCCCTCGCATGGTCTGTAAGTCCTCCCTTGGCCAGCTTCACCAGGAACCATTCTTCCTGCTCTTATCTGTTCACCACTCTGTCCTCCGGTTGCGTTCCTTCTCTGACTGCTGACTTCCGTTGGAGGCCTCTGGACAATCTTACGCCTTCTGAGTCTGAGTGTCCAGAAGTACCTTTATTCCGCCCCGTGACAGGACTGACCAGCTGTAGCGTTGGGGTGTGTGCTCCTGAGAGGGTGTGAGGAGAAAATACAATCTCCTGTTTGTGTGACTGAGGAGAAGTCATGGGCCAATTTGCTTCTCACCCCAGTTTTATTCTTTCTTCTGGCAAAGTTTTTCTTTCTCCCGGGCTTTGAGCTATGTCAGCAGGCCACATCTGCCCAGATGCCTGCTAAGTACCTGATGAAGGTGTTCCTGCCCACGAAGCCTCGTGCCCCAGGACACTTGCAGTGATTTTCTGAGATTATTTCCCTCCCTGCCTCCTCTCAGTTCACACCACCCAGAGCTCCCAGGAGGTGGTCAGTAGCTCCCTACTATGGTCCGGCAGTTCCTCCTTTGCTTTTCTGTCCTCTTTTCCATTTTCCATTTTCTTTTGCTCTGTGTGTTAAGAGATCTGCTCATTTTTAGTTACCCAAGTCATGTGATTTTCAACGCCTTCTTTGGAGGGTTTTAGGTTTTAGATTTTTCTCTTTTCCTAAGTCAACCACCGAGTATGTTCTATTTGGGTCCTTTGACTTTCTGCAGAGCCAACTTCTCTCACTTTATGAAAGTAAGATTCTGACACCAATCTGGGGACACCAATTGGAAGTCTTAAAAATTATTGTCTTCAACATCTAAGTTAATTCTGTCTTCATAGGCTTCCATTGATTTGTCTTGGTACTTATCTTTTTAGGCTGTTGGGTTTTATTTATGTAAAAATAACACTGTTATTTATATTTGTTTTTTATTGTTTATTGCGATTTATTTTATTGTTTATATTTGTCATAAAATCATACTTTGTTACGCAGTTTTTCTTGATGCTTATTTTTCCAATTGTTTCTTTTTCCACCAGCAGAGTTTGGGCCCTTTTTAGTTTCCTGTTGTAAATGGAAAAACAAAAACGTCATCATAAGATCGGTCCAGGTAGCTGCTGCTGTGTTCACTCGGTGGCACAGAGACCTGTTTCCTTGGCAGGCTCTTCCCTGGAATGGAAGGACAGACCTGGGGGCTTTTCCGGGGATTGGTGGGAGATGTGTCCAGACGGGCCTCTCTGTAGGTTGTACAGGGCAGGGCAGAGCTCTAGGGGACCCTCCTTTCCCCCTGCCAGAGCCGGCAGTGCCTTACCTGATGGCAGAGCTGTCTGTTTCCCTAGCGTTGCCCTAAAAGCAAAGCTGGGACCGCTCAGGGTACTCAGCATAGCACTTTGCTTCTCTCTCCGGTTGCAAGGTTCATGCAGACTCCTGGAGGCGGTTGCCCTGCTTTTTATTTTTATTTTTTATTATTTTTTTAAAGGTTTCATTTATTTATGTGACAGACAGAGATCACAAGTAGGCAGAGAGGCAGGCAGAGAGAGAGAGGAGGAAGCAGGCTCCCTGCAGAGCAGAGAGCCCGACGTGGGGCTCGATCCCAGGACCCTGGGATCATGACCTGAGCCGAAGGCAGAGGCTTTAACCCACTGAGCCACCCAGGCTCCCCAGTGCCCTGCTTTTTATAGGGAAGGTTCTTCTGAGTGTTGACCCTTCGCCAACCCCTCTGGGGGGTAAGAGTGAGCCAGGAGCGTGGCAGTCCTCATAGGCCCACTCGCTCTTCTGGGTCTTCCCGCACAGCTGCTGCTGACCTGAGCGGTCCTGCCGGGCTCTGAACAGAACCTGAGATTCATGCACCTTCTGGGTTTGTGGTAGGGGATGAGCACGTGGCCTCCAGAATTGGCCTCCTCCTCTGTAACTACAGAAACCCCTCAGCATTTGTCCCTTGCTGACAGCCCCCTTTCCCTGTACTCCGCTGTCCTGATCCCGTAGTGGGTGTTTTTATGTATGTCTCTCCCTGCTATGGTTTGGAGGCCCAAGAGATAAATGTGTGTGCCCAGCCCATCATGTCGAGTTAGGAGCCTTTCTTATTCTTGAAATTGTCACCACCGGTGGCTCCCGAGGATCGCGTCATTCCTTCGACGTTTTCCTCGTGAGCACCGCCACGGACCTCCTCTGCTCTCCATGGACAGATATATCTGCCAACTCCCGCTTCCCCAAGGCCTTCTCTCCCTCCTCCTCCCCAGCAGGCTCCGAATCTTCTGTCTCCTGTTCTTTGTGGGCAGGTTCCCCACTCAGATGGCTTCGGCTACCACTGAGATACTCCTGATTTCCAAAATGTATCTTAATCCTTGACCTCTCTCCTGAGCCCCAAGACCTTATATCCATCTGTCACCTGGAACTTCCCACCTGTGTGTGTCACAGATGTCCAAGATTTCTACCCCCCCCCCCTTCTCCTGCCCGACCTAGTCTTCCTCCTGGCTTGTCAGTCTCGGTGTAGGGCACCAGCTTTGACCCAGCTGCTCTTGGAGATAACCCCGGAGTACTAGCCCCAGAGTACCAGCCCCAGAGTACTATTCCGTTGCCCCTCTTGCCCTAACCAATTGATGACAAATACCATTTAGAATCAGCTCCATGTCTAAATGCCCCTGTTACGACATTACAATCTTCTCTGATTATGGTTATTACCTTCCTCTCTGACTTGACTTCCCTTCCCTTCCCTGAAAAACCCTACCCTGGCTTTCTCAAACTCAACACAGTCAGTATTTGGGGCCAAATAATTCTTTGTTGTAGAGGCTGTCCTGGGCATCGCAGGCTGTCCCAAAGCATCTCTGGACCCCAGCCACTAGATGCCAGAAGCACCCTTTCCTCCATTGGGACAACCACAAAGGTCTTTGGACATCACCAAATGCCCCCCAGGCAGGCAAGATCATGTTGATTGAGAACTGCTCCTTTAAAACCCTCTCCCAGTCTGCTGCTAGGGTATTGCTTTCAAAATCTAAGTCTGATCATGTCACTTAGGTATATGTCCCCATTTCCATGGAAGTCATCTCCAAAGCCAGGTGTCTACCCCAGAGAACTGCAGTTGACCACCAAGTAGTGTGTGGTATGTAAAGGAAGTTCTAAAATGCTCTTTTATGTTTCTTTTGTATCTAGAAAATTTAAGAAAGGAAACTTTACTTTTGGTGGCTAGCTGGAGAGTCCTAGACATGTATCATTTAGAAGTTAATGAGCAGAGGGATGCTTAGGAACTTCTGTTGATGGGGTGACTCGATATTTGGAGGCCACTGGTCTCCAGGAGAAAGTCCAAAATTTCTCCTTGTCTGACCACTGACTACCTCTACTGCTCTGAGTCTCATTGAAGCCCCCAACCTTATTCTATCACCGTGCACTCCTTGCAACTCCCTTAACTTAATGTGTGTCGTTATTTATTATTATGTAATTTATTACTGGGCATGTATGTGCTTTGTAGAAAGTCTCCTTTTTGGTCTGTGAACAACTTAAAAACAGGCCCAGTGTCTCCTTCGTCTTAGCGTCCTTACAACTAAGGTCGTTTAAACATATGGAGGGACTCAAATTTTCATTATTTTATGAATAAATAAATACAAAGGCAGAGCATTTCTATTATGATTTCTGTTTCTCCCACAAAGTATAACATAAAGGAAGTTACATGGTTGCCATCCTTTGTAACATGTTCTGGTAAATTCTTAACAATGAACACAGTAGGTGCACCTGGGTGGCTCAGTCAGTTAAGCAGCTGCCTTTGGCTTGGGTCTCGAACCCAGGATACTGGGATCGAGGCCCACGTCGGGCTCTCTGCTCAGTGGGGAGCCTGCTTCTCCCTCTCCCTCTGCCTGCTGCTCCCCTTCCTTGTGCTCTCCTTCTCTTTCTCTCTCTCCGTTAAATAAAATCTTAGAAAAAATAAGATTCTCTCTCTCCCTCTGCCCCTTCCACCTCCCCAAAATGAGCACAGTAGATATTTATTTCCGTACGGATTTCCTGTGCCATCGGGTCCTGAGCACCTTCCAGTGAGCAGGACTGGACTGTTACAGGGCTCGGTGTCATTCGAGGATATATCTGTGGACTTCACCCAGAAGGAGTGGCAGCTGCTGGACCCCGCCCAGAGGCTCCTGTACAGGGAGGTGATGCTGGAGAACTACAGGCAGCTGGTGTCCCTGGGTAAGCACAGCTTCCCACTCAAGTACCCACAGCATGCCCTTCCCGTCTTAGCCCCCAAATCATATAGGGAGTAATGAGTTTCAGGCTTGAGATTTTGGATTCAAAGACCCTTTTAGGGAACTTGAAAGTCTGTTACATTCTCACCCTCCTGGCAAAAAGCCCCATCACTGTACAGCTTCCAAAGTTTCTCCCTTCTGATTCTTCAAAGGGTCTGACCTTTAAGTGGCTTTGCGGAGCCCCATGTCATTTCCCCTTAACAGGGCACTGTGTCACCACACCTGAGCTGATACTCAAGCTGGAGCAAGGAGAAGAGCCATGGGTACCAAAGAGAGAACTCCCAAGTCCGAGCCACCCAGGTGAGTTCACAGTGGTGGAGATAAGGCAACTGGGAGGAACTGGACCCCAAGTGGTCAGTTCATTTTAGAGCCTTTTGACTAAAGACAGGTGACCTCCCTACCTTAGATATCAGACCTCCAAGCAGCACCCTCAGATGTAAGTGTCCTTTGTGTTCTGTTTGACTTTGATGCCTAGAGAGGTTGGGCTGGTTTTTGTAGAATCCGATTGCTCCTTTCCTCATCCTAGACTATTATTTCTGTTTTTCTCTGTTGGGTAACGACCATTGTTCACCTTTCCTCCTGTGCCAAACACGCTGTCATTGTGCAGTTATTGGTGCATTCTTACATTCAACAAATATTTATTAGGGACCTGATATGCACCGGTCCCATTCTAAGCAAAGGGGGTACAAAGTCTCTACTCCTATCAGTAGATCGAATTAGCAAATTGGCAGATTTAGCAAAAAAAAAAAAGTAATATGTCTGGTAGTCATCAGCAGTATGAAAAATTAAATCAGATGTAGGGTAGAAGAACCGATAGGGAGTGCTGGTTTTGGAAAGGAACAGTGCAGGAAGAGTGGAATAGAGTTTTGAATGGAAGGATGGCATGAGCCACAGATTATCTGAGAGATTTCCAGATCGAGGGAGCAGCTGGTATGAAGTCTCTGAGATGGCAGTGTGCTTGGTGTAATCAGGGAACATCGAGGAGTCAATGGGACCAAAGGTGGTTCAAAAAAAAGTAGCGGCTGATGTCAGAGAGTTAGCTGGAGCAAAGCGTTATGGGCCTGGTGAGACTGACTTCTGCTCTGAATGAGGCATTAGGTGAGAGGGGAGATCAAGGGCTGTACCTGTGCATGCTAGGTTTGGAGGTCAAGAAGGCACGTGACTCTAGCAGATCTCAAGTAAGAATGAGCAGAAGCACCCAGTATGGTAGGAAGGGAACCAGAAGACAGTGATGTCCCAGAAGTCCCGTGAACAAGGCATTTTGCGAAGGAAGGAGTGAATTCCAGTCTGCAGATGCACCTGTAAACTCAGCATTGCCTCTTCTTTTCCTGCACATTATTCAGAGGCCACAGGGAAAATAAAAACAAAATGTCAATTCCATTTTCACTAGTGGTGGGAGGCAGCTGAAATCCCAAACTTAGAAAGTGGAATGGGGCGCCTGGGTGTCTCAGTTGGTCAGGTGTCTAACTCTCGATCTCAGTTCCAGTCTTGATCTCAGAGTCGTGAGTTTGGGTCCCATGTGGAGCCTACTTTAAAAATTAATTAATTAATTAATTAGTTAATTAAAATGTGGATTACAACCAAAAGTAATGAAAATCAGGCTTGGTCATGGAAGTAGAAGGAGAAGGTAAACATCACACAAACCAGCCGTGGAAAAAAGTGTCAGAACACATTGTACAGGTAGTATTTACTTGCAAACTTTGCCACAAATGGAACTTGAAGTAATGAGATTATTAAAAAGAAAGAAAGAAGAAAGAAAGAAAGAAAGAAAGAAAGAAAGAAAGAAAGAAAGAAAGGGCAATGGGACAGTAGCATTGCCCTGAAGGATGTGTAGGTTCTGAGTAGAGCTAAGGACAGAATATGTGAAGTGAAGAACATGAGGGTGGATATGTGGCTAGAAATGTCCAATTTACAGAATTAAGTACCCTGATCTGATACATCTGACAATACTTTAGACTTGTGGGCTGATCATTGAACATGTGCTGTGAACTTAGGTATAAGAACCTAGGGTAAACTCTAGGTATAAAAATCCACTATCAAATTTTACTAGTTGGCATATGGGTTTCTATTTGTTTTACCTGCTACAGAAAAGTCACATATTTTTAAGGATATAATTGCTGTTCTTTGCTAAAATGAGAATAGCAAAGGATAGTAATAATCATGCATAGCTAAAAGAAATTTTAAGACAAAGATTAATAAAGGTCCTTGGACCAAATTGGATAGCCAGCTGCTTGAGTTTTCACAGAAAAAAAAAATCAGAGAGGAAGAAAACATGATATAAAGGTAGAATTAAACATTAGTATTGTGAGAGGACACAATCAGTTGGCCAAGTAAATCAGCAGATTGAAAGAGGGAGATGTAGAGGGCGTCAGTCAGGACAGATAAGTGTTGATCAGTCCTGAGAGAGTCGAATGAAAACACCAACAACCAGAATACAGAGGTGAACCAGATCCTGTTGCAAGCATGGCTTGTTCTCTCTTATGTTTTAACACTCTCTTTGGATAGTGTTTTACCATATCACAGCTCTATGAAGAGATGGGGATGAACTATAGGAATGGACCCTTAGACCCAAGGAAATTAGTGATTTCATAAGTTCAGTTGGGAGTTGGTGTACAGAGTGGGAAGGAGGAGGAAGAGTTTGGGAACATGGAGAGCAGAGTAAGAACTTCATTGCAGGTGGTAAAGTATGGGGAAGAGGAGGATATGGTTCTAGTCTGAGCTGCTGTCAACCTGATCTTGACTCTGATACTTCTCTTATTACCTTCTAGTCTTCCTTGTCTCCCTCCTCAGTGTCCTTTGTCTTTGCCCATCCTTTGAAAATCTTCCATCCTTGGGTGTTGTTTTCCTGACATCCTTTTTAACCAACTCACTGTTCCTTATGTCTTATTTCAAACCCTCTATCCATCTTGACATCTCATTTGTAACAAACCAAAGCCATTTGTGTTAATTTTCAGCTTCCTCTCCTTTTGTTTTCTACTACAATACGTGTTTTTGTCTTTGTTTTCATGTGACCAAACCAAAAGAATAGAATAAATATTTGCTCAGGACTTCTTCATCCCAGAATACTGTGTCTAAAAACCCAAGAACCCACTCCATATAGGCCACTTGTGTACAATGCCATTTCTTAAGAAACGTGTTAAGATTTATAATGTATGTCCATTTCTCATATTTCTAGAAGTCCAGAAAACCAATAACGTGAAAGAAAGAAGCCAAGAAGAGGAAGATAAATATTCCAAGCAAGCTTTATTCTTCAACAACAGAATATTGATTAAGGAGAGAAATAAGACCTTGGGAGAAACATTTAATATGGCCACAAACCCAGTACCCTCAAGAAAACGATCCCATAAATGTGATTCATCTAGAACAAGTGTTTCAGAATTAATTGTTAGTAATAGAAACCATGTAAGAAAAAAGTCTAATGATATGAATGGAAGTGGATTCCTTGATACTATGCATGAGAAAACTCATATAGAGAACAAGCCCTGTGAAAATGATCACAAGAAGAAATCCCACAGACATAATGAGGACTTTAGTCAACACCAGAAGAATTCTGTTTTGGAGAACGTTCTTGAATATAATAATTGTGGGAAAGCCTTTCACAAAAAGACTGCCTTTGTTACACATAAGAGAGCTCACAAAGGAGAGAAACCCTCTGAAGGTAATGAATACAGACAAGCCTTCACCCAAAAATTAAAGCTCAGTGCTTATCTGAGAACCCTTAGGGAAAGGAAACTACATGAATCCAGTAAAAGTAGGAAGCCCTTATGCATGAAGTCAACACATGTACATCCGAGAGTTCACGTACGAGAGAAACACTATGATTGTAATAAACTGGGGAGATCCTTTAGCAAGAAATCAAACCTTACTCAACAGCAGAGAGAGTACAGAGGAGGAACACCTGATGAGTGTAATGAAAGTGAGGACACCTTGCAGAAGTCATACCACACTCAAAGTGAGAGAACTCACGTGGGAGAGAAAATCTATGAATGTGATAAATATGGACAATCCTCCCATGAAAAGCCATGCTTTCCTCAACACCAGAGAACTCACACAGCAGAAAAACATAGCAAGTGTTATGATAGTGAGAGAGCCATAACGGAGTCACACCTCACTCAAAATCAGAGAATTAACACAAGAGAGAGAAGCTTTAAAGATGGTAAGTGTGAGAAGTTAAAACTCGCTCGACACCAGAGAATGCACCCAGGGAAGAAAACTGCTGAGTGTCACAAAAGTGGGAGGGCTTTAAGTAAGAAGTCACACCTCACTCAAAATCAGAGAGCTCACCACAGAAAGAAAGCCTACGACTGTAATAAATGTGGGAAAAGCTTTCATAAGAAAACAGAGCTTACTCAACATCAGAGCACACACACGGGGAAAAAACCCTATGAGTGTAATGAATGTGGGAAGTCCTTCTTTGTGAAATCCAACCTCACCGAACATCAGAGAACTCACACAGGAGAAAAACCGTACGGATGTAATCAATGTGGGAAGTCCTTCTGCCAGAAGTCAGCCCTCACAGTGCATCAGAGAACTCACACAGGAGAGAAACCGTATCAATGTAATGAATGTGGGAAAACCTTCTGTGTGAAATCCAACCTTACTCAACATCAAAGGACCCACACGGGAGAGAAACCCTACAAATGCAATGAATGCTGGAGATCTTTCTGTGTGAAATCCAACCTTGTTGTGCATCAGAGAACTCATACAGGAGAGAAACCCTACAAATGTCCTGAATGTGGGAAAACCTTCTATGAAAAATCAGCCCTCACAAAACATCAGAGAATTCACACAGGGGAAAAACCCTATGAGTGTAATGAATGTAGGAAAACCTTCAGCCAGAGGTCAGCCCTCACCAAACATCAAAGAAAAACACACAAGAAGAAAACTCCCATCCATGTTGCCCACAAGCAGAAACCTGCATCCACAAATCAGGTTCGGTAAAGATCAGCCAAATCACAGGGCCAAAAGGCTAAGATGTCCACACACATAGGAAAGTCTTCATCAATCAGTTATAGCTTATTGGAACTAGAGGATGAATATAGGAGTGAAACCTTATGAATGCTTGGAACATGTGAAAGCTTTCAGCAAGTATTCAAAGATATGGAGAGGAAATTTATCACTTTAAGGAATATGGATAAAAATGTTCTTGTGAAAATGTTTAAGTAGAAGTCATATTTGGGATGTGATGCCAAACTTATTAGAGAAAAGATAACAGAAAATGTTCTGTTAAGAGACTGAAATGTGTACCTTTTATAAAAGCAGGAATACTTTAAGTCATTGATACAATAGCATTAAACATATATGTGAAGACTTTCTGAGGTGTATTGAACTATATATGGGCATATGGTATGTGAGCGTGCCATATAACATGAATTATGTGTATGTTGGATTTGTGATCCAATCCACCACTGTCTCTGAATGTCGACAATATGGTGTATGTAGACTAAGTGAAAACTGAACAGTCCTATAACCTGTGACCCAACAGTCCCACTTCTGGATACATACCCTAAAGCAATAGTTCTCAACTGGGCATCCTAAAGGGTGTTTGGAAATACTGGGATGGTTTGGTTTTCACTGTGACAGGGTGTTGTCTGCGGTTAGTATGTGGGAAAGCCAAAGACACCAAATGTCCTGCAATGGGTCAGTAAAAGGACAAGAAGAGGCTCAACCACAATGCCAAGGGCTCCGGCACAGAAAAAACACAGCCCTGGAGAAACTCCCGTGTGTGCGCGCACCCACAGACATATACCAGAATGTTCGAGACAACATGGCAATAAGTCTTGCAGTATGATTTACAGAAACGGGAAGTAAAAAATGTCCATTAACAATAGACTAGATTGGGGCGCCTGGGTGGCTCAGTGGGTTAAGGCCTCTGCCTTCGGCTCAGGTCAGGATCCCAGGGTCCTGAGATCAAGCCCCAAATTGGGCTCTCTGCTCAGCAGGGAGCCTGCTTCCTCCTCTCTCTCTCTCTCTCTCTGCCCGCTTCTCTGCCTATTTGTGATCTCTGCCTGTCAGATAAATAAATAAAATCTTTAAAAAAAATAGACTAGATTAATAAATGTTGGTTATGGTCAGACCAGGGAAATAAGGTACAGCAATGAAAATGAATTAATGAGTTAAACACTTCAAGATTATTATACCTTAATGGTAAATGAAAAAATATATAGATATCATGTAACTGCGTTTCAAAAAGTTTAGAAAACAAAGAAATCAGCAGTACATTGTTTGAGGAGATATATATATATATAAACATCTTTGTGTATAAATAGACATAGAAACATACATGTTAGCTGTCAAAGAACAAAGGAAAGCAAGTGGAAGATTAACAAAATCTAGGATAGCAGTTACATCTATGGAGGAAAGAGGGACTTATATTTACAGAGAGAGAGAGAAATGCATGTTTCTCAAATGACTCATGAGTATATAGGTATTGCTTTTAATATTTTATATCATATATATGCCTAAATGGCTATTTCTGTTTATAGATTAATTTTCAAGAAACAGGCTTTAGGATAATTGCGTTAGAATGTTAGCAAAAATGAAGTTTTGGCATAAAGATCATAGTTAAGTTTTTACATTCATCTATTTTTCTGGATCTAAAATTTCCATAATGATATTTTCAAGAGTCTACCCATCTCCTCTTTGCAACTCACCATCTTGATTTCCCTTATTGTATTTCTCCTTTTGCTCCCTCGTAAAATTAATCCTAACTTTTTAAAAGTAATAAAGTGAGCATTGTTCAAGATAGAAAAAGTAAAGCAAGTGAAAAAGAAACAAAATCGAAGTACTTTCAATAGTAAATATAAATAAAAATGAAAAAGTAATAAACGTTCTCACAAACATGATCAAGTTGAATTCACACATCAAAAATGGTAGTGGTTCAATGGTTTAAAAACCACCTATGTGTGGTTTAAGATATATATATACATATATATATGTATATGTATGTATATATGACAAAGGAAGCTTGAAATTTAAAGGATTGGGGGTATACCTGGGTGGCTCAGTCGGTTAAGCTTCCAACTTTTGATTTTGGCTCAGGTCATGATCTCAGGGTTGGGGGAATTGAGCCCTGCGTCAGGCTCCATACTGGGCATAAAGCCAGCTTAAGATTCTCCCTCCCTCTCTCTCTAAAAAAAAAAAAGGAAAAAAAAAGAAAAAGAAATTTAAGAGACTGGGCAAAAGATGATACATGGATGAATGGATAGGCAGATGAAAGATAGAAAGATATTGATAGATATTTATAAATATAGATATATATATATATATATCTTTTCTATTCTTTTTACATTCCTCCATTAAAGCACAAGTACCCACTGTTAAGTCCTGTGATTATATCATTTAACCCAACTGTGCTCTTAAACATGAGGTTCTTCAGCCTCTCGTCAAAAATGATCTCATAGGGAAATAGCCACTGATACGAATGTATGTTCAGGTTATGCTCCTTTTCTGTCTTAAACTAATGTTTTTAACCCTTCCTGATTTGAGGTTCCACAGGAAGCTCTGGAAAGAGCAGAGGAGGGAATGGGCTTCCAAGCACCTGTGTCTTTCTGATTGAGGGTCCTCCCTTGGTGTTCATTTCTAGTAAGAAACTTTTTAAGATGCTCGTTTTGACCTTATTTGGAATGATGAACAGGGCACTGAGAGACTTCTAATCTTGACATTGCCTCCAGCCCAGTTTTATTAATCTTTAAAACAAAGAGCAGATTTAGACAATTATCATTGGCTTAGTCCATTTGGGCTGCTGTGATACTACTGTAGATTGCAGATCTAAGAACCAACAGAAATTTATTTCTCACAGTGCTGGTGGCTGAGAAGTCCGGGATCATGGCAGTATCTGGTGAGGGCTCACTTCCTGGGGCACCGTGTCCTTGTGGGGTGGGAGGGATGGACGAGCTCTGTGGGGTGTCTTTTAGGGGCACTAATCCCATTAATGAGAGCTCTACCCTTGTGACCCAATCACCTCTCAAAGGCTCCGCCTCCTAATACCACCACATCTGGGGGGCTAGAATTTCAAGATGTGAATCTTGGAGGGATACGAACAGTCCATAACAGCTATCATGTTTTTCCAGTATGATCATTCGGAACTTTGGATGTCAATTTACAGAGCAATCAGCACATCCTTAGAGGCCAACGGCATTGACCTGGAGAGAAAGTGGAGAATGAAGACAGCATGGACCTTGAAGATTCTTAAAAAAAAAAAAGACCTCAGCTGAGCCTGAGGTCACTCTCCTACCTAGCTTGTGGACACCCAGGAATAGTCCTTCTCTGGTGGAATCTGGTTCCTGCCAGTCCCCGCGGCTCAGGACACATCTCCAGAAGTTGCATCAAGCCTTCCATCGTCACCCAGTCCTGACAGTCCCTTCTGAGGTACAGCTACAGATTTTGAATACTTTGAACAGGAGGATTCCTTCTCACCCAGCTCCCTGTCTGGAGCCCTCCTACCTCTTCCCAGAGCTTTCAGTGTGTGTCGCCTTGTTGGATTTTTATTCCTGGGGTCTCCTCCTAACACACAAAAGCTAGTGTATTTATGTGGAGTCAGTATCTGGGCCCTAAGCACAGTCATTTTAGATGGGAGACTCCACCCCAGTAAGCAATATCTGTTTCTAATGGCACCGACTGGCCCCTAGAATCCCAAACCTGGCTTCTAGCAAACTCAAACCAGCTCCACTAAGAAAAATAGCAGGCTGGAGAGTCCATGAGCCATCTTGAAGCTACAGAAATTCAGCTTGGCCTCAAACTCCAAAGAAACACCAAGAAATCAAAGGACTAGAAGGCAGGAGCAAATTTTAATTCATCATTTGTCTCCTGGGGTCACTTGAGGGCACTTTATTTGACTGAGTGCTCTGAGAATTCAAAGATGGTTAAAGTCCAAGTGTGGGTTTTAAGTGATTTGGTATGGGGCTCCTGGGTGGCTCAGTCATCAGAGGGGCATGAGACTTGATGTTGGGCTCATGAGTTAGAGCCCACATTGGGTGTAGAGATTACTTAAATAAATAAAGCTTTTTTAAAAATTTAGAAAACATAATCTAAGCTCATGACTCAAGAATCTAGAAAAAGAACAAAATAAATCCAAAGCAAGCAGAAGGAAAGACATAATATAGATAAAAGGGGATACCAATGGCATTAAAAACAGAAAACAACAGGAAAAAAATCAATAAAGATAAGAGTTGGTTCTTTAAAAAGATCAATAAAATTGACAAGCTTCTAGAAAAATTGGTATAGAAAAAGAAGACACAAATTACCAATATCAGTAATGAAATCCAATATCATGTCAGACTCCACAGACATCAAAATGATTAACAGGGAAATCTATGATCAGCTTTATACCCATAAATTTGACAATTTAGATTAAATAAACCAATTCTTAAAAAATTAAAAAAATAAAAAAATAAACTAATTCTGAGTGATGCCTGGATGGCTCAGTTAGGAATCCAACTCTTGATCTCAGCTCAGATCTTGATTTCAGGGTTGTGATTCAAGTCTTGCATCGGGCTCCAAAAATAAAATAAAATAAAAACCAATTCTGAAAAAAAAGGCAATAAAAGGAAATTTAAAAACACAAATCAGAAAAGAAGAAATAGAATTGTCTTCATTTGCAGATGACATGATTGTTTAGTGAATCTTCAAGAAAAGTAAAGGAAAGAAACCTTCCTAGATATAGTAAGTGAGTTCAACAAGGTCATAAGAAACAAGGTAAACATACAAAATTCAATTGTATTTCAATATGCCAACAATGAGCACAGGCACCAAAATTTCAAATACAATACCATTTTAAATTGCTCCCAAAAAGCCTATGGTTAGATGTAAATCTAACAAAACACGTGCAGAACTTGCAAGCTGAAAATTACCTAATGCTAATCAAAGATGATCTAGGGGCTCCTGTGTGACTCAGTCCATTAAGCATCTGCCTTGGGCTCAGGTCACGATCCCAGCGTCCTGGG